AACTCTTAATATGACAACAATAAAACAGACTCACCCTTTAATAATTGACACTCCTGCATATGGGTCATCTTAAACCCAGATACATTGTGCAATGTTATTGATTAAACCTACTGCATCTATTCTACAGGGTGTCCCAACAACATGTTATTGATTAAACCTACTGCATCTATTCTACAGGGTGTCCCAACAACATGTTATTGATTAAATCTACTGCATCTATTCTACACGGTGCCCCAAAAACATGTTATTGATTAAATCTACTGCATCTTTTCTACAGAGTGTCCCATTAAACATGTACCATGGCAAATCGTCTTTGATCCACACGTTATTCATTCATATATGTTATTTACAATAGACACACATACTCAATATAATATACACCTTATTTCCAAAATGTGATATCCTGGTTTTTTACTTTCTAAACTGAGATTTCTAAATGTTTTCCTACTTTCAAGATGTCAACCAAAATTGTCTAAACTTTGTCAATCATTCTAAATTTAAAAGACTTTCCACATTTTAAGACATTCTGAGTGATGAACAATATTGTTCTAATAAAACGTTACCATTAATTTAATACCGTCGCTTCTCATGTTAAAAATGGGACACCCTGTAATATAAAGTAACGTACACAGCCTTATGTATTTCGAAACACTCTGAATAAGGTGATAGAAACCAAACAGAGAAATAAATAATTTCTTCGTGCACGACATAGGATGATGCAAAAACCATTGAAACGCAATTCAAAACGACATGGAACACCGGAAACAATCAGGAATCATTAATTTTGATCTAGCTAGACAATTAATGATAACTCTCTCATTCATCTTGATTAGATTAGGATTTAAATGGTACCGCTGTGAATCGGACTTGCAGCTCTACAAATCTACTTGAAATCACGCATCCAGTCATTTTGATAAAAAATTGACCATTTTTGCGTTTCTGGAAAGTTTTAAGGATTTTGAATCTCCCTGGTTCAGATGTAGAAGAGAAATGATTCTGAGAGATGTCTTGCCGAGATGGGATTCGGGGGTCGGAGTGGNTGCCCCCCCCCCAGGATTAAGTAATACAAGGTCATTATAATTTGATCGAATGTTTTTTGACACACGATTATTCCCTTGTACTAGATACTACTTGAAGCTTTTTGTTGATTATCTTATGTTTGTTTGCTTTACCCAATGCTCCAGTTTTTGGTCATATTTTGAACGTATTTTCCGCTTCCGTATGAGATAAAAACGTGACAAATGATAGAAAAACGTGACAAATGATAGAAAAACGTGACAAACGACTGAACCAGTTAGATTTAGCCAACTGCAATCATTTATGAATTATTCATTCTCTCTCTTGGCTAATCATCAAGGATTTCAGGATTCATTGCATTTATTTATTCATTCATCCTTATTCCTTATGCATTCATCTCTTCTTTTTTCCTTCATCCTATTCATTTATTATTACCATTCATTTTATTTAATCATTCTTTCTTATTTCATCCTTCCTCATTAGGGGTTTCTTTGCATTCATCCTTTCATTTCCTTTTTTTTGCCGTTCTAATTCTATCTTTTTCTTTCATAAGCTAAGAGTTAGGATACAAGAAAAATAAAAAAGAAGGGAGGATTTGGGAAAAAAGGAACAATGGAAGTAATGGGCCTTGTTTTTTTGACTGTTTTGAGACATTCAGGTTTTTTAACGTTTAAAGTGTTTTTACTAAAATGTTAGTTGATTAATAACATTGCAAATAGTATTAACGATTAGTTTATTCTAATTATATTATACCATTTTTTATCAAACTTGTCTAGCAATCTTAATTAGAATTTTATATAAATAAATATGAAGAATATCAGAACTACGAAAATGAATTTAATGCAATTATCTTTCAAAAAGTCCTGTAATATATAGAAACCCCTGTTTTCTAGGATAATATGAATAGCTGCATTACAGACAATAAATTTTTTTTATTCTAACTTTTTGATGTAAATCTCCTAGTAAATCTAATTGCAATAAAACCCGATGTATATAATAAATTATTATCCTCACTAAGCGAAAAGGCGATGGAAATTTACTCTTTAAGATATTTTTAGTATTTTCCACTGGAATTCGATCATTTTTCATCGAAATTGGTTCCACAGTAAAAACCCCAGATTTAAACACTTTAAGAGACGATTTCTCATGCTTGAGCTCATAACCATGAGAAACGCGCGCTGAATACGATGTGTGCGTGCATAATTTTTGACTTGTTTGTCTCCATGCTTAAAAAAGTAGACAGATATATAGATATATAGATAGATACATAGATAGATACAGTGAAACCCTTAATAAAGAATACAACGGAAGAATTAATCAAATGTCGTCTTCACAATTTTTCAATGAGTTTTATACTATATTACGTAAATTTCAGTATTTGCAAAAATAAATAAATAGCCATGAATGTGCGGGAACAGTTTTAAAGAGTTCCATATAATCATTTAATTAAAAAACTAAATATCTGCAACATTCCATTTTCAGAAAGTGAAGAATACGACATTTGATGAATTCTTTCGATGTATTCGTTATTAAGGGTTTCACTGTAGATAGATAGATAGATAAACAGATAGATAGATAAAAAGATAGATATAAGATAGATAGATAGATAGATAGATTAATAGATAGATAGATAGATAGATTACAATGTTTATTGTATCTGATTATTGTACTGTTGTCCCAAAGGCCAACAGGGGTAGCTATTAATCATAATAACCAAAATAATTTGTAAAAAAATTACATAAATTTATATGATAATGATAAGTAGATAATTTCTTTTATTATTAACAAAGTATATCATGTTTTCTTAAATTAAAAGTGGGGTTTTACTTTCATTAAATCATAATTATTTTTTTAATATCATTTTTTTTCCTTGTTATTTTTAAAGATAATTATGTTTTGGGGGGAAGAAATTTGAATGATATTGTAATGAATTNTTTGTACACTTTGAACTCCCTTCCAGGCTGAAAGGGACTGAAAAAATTCATACCGAGAGATTCTTTTAATTCCTCTCTATATATTCTATTCTCTATGGTAGGAAGGTAGGTAGGTAGGTAAGTAGGTAAGTAGGTAGGTAGGTATGTAGGTAGGTAGGTAGGTAGGTAGGTAGGTAGGTAGGTGGGTAGGTAGGTAGGTAGGTGGGTAGGTAGGTAGGTAGGTATGTAGGTAGGAAATTAGGTAAGTAGAGTGGCAGATAGGTATGTAGATATTTAGGTAGATATTTACCTAAGTAGATAGGTAGGTGGGTAGGTAGGTATGTAGGCATGTAGGCAGGTAGGTAGGTAGGTAGGTAATTATACTAGTTAGATAGGCAGATATTTAGAAAATTAGGACAAAAATTAGGAAAGGAGGTATAGAAAGATAGGTAGGCATGTAGAAAGGTACGAAGGTAGGTTGGAAGGTAGATAGTTATGTAGATATATAGTTAGTTAATAAAAATATGATAGATTGCAGAATATAATATATCTTATTGAATACCCCCACAGTACATCTTTTACTTCTTGTAACATAATCAATCAATCAATCAATCAATCAATCAACAAAAATTGCAGTTATCAAACCTTTGCATCAATTTAGCCATTCTTAAATCTTTAGTTTTGGTTATTATTTTTATAATTCTTTATTTTGCACCATTACACATAAATATTTTGCAACAGTTATAAGTATTGTCAATTTTTTGTTTATAAATTACATTGTCATTCGTATATCATTTTAAAATACACAAATAATTTTTTAACATACATTATACAAAAGTGCACAATAGAAGAATATGTAAATATGACAACTTCCTTCTGTCTAAAAGTGGATTAAAATCTTGTATTAATTCTAATATTTATTCATATGAAGATTTAAATACTTGTTTCAAACTCTTATTGTCAAATCCTTACAGCTTTGCTACCTAAAATCGCAGACTTTATCAAACAATAAAAAAAGGTTTATATCGTCATATATTACAATTAGTCAATATAGTTTCAGTAAAAGCAAATATTTCCATTTACTGATAGCGCCGAATGAAGAATTCATATCTCTAATTGGATACTGATATAGATAGAAAGATAGATGTTACCGTCATACTATTTCTATTAGTTGAGAATAGACAACACACACATGACTAATCCCTGATTGGATGAGTCGCTAATGAACTCGGCATACAGGAGTGTAGTAATCAATTTCTTTCCTTTTCTTGCACTTATGGATGTAAAATCAAATCAAGAAGAGCAAAGTGATCCTTAAGCTTGTTTTTGCGTTAAATATAAATTTCTAATTTTCAGAAAAAAAATAAATCCATATCTTTACACACATTTTTCTTAACAATTCTTTATTATATCATAATATAGTTCATATTGCTCCTGGTTTACGACATAACATTGTTTACACAACTTAGAAATTATTTTAGTCATATTTATATATATATATATATATATATATAGATGCTTGATAAAGTCTATTGTTTATAATGATAAGTGACCTCAAACCAAGACATAATTAAATATATTGGATTGGTAGCAAATAATTTCAAAGAAGTTTCCAAAACCATACCTCATCATTCTGAAATGTACGCTATAAAGATAGTACTGCACTGTCTAACTATATTTGGAATTTAAAGAATAAAAAGGAAGATTTTAGCATCAAATGGTCACTTGCAGCTAAAGCCCCATCTTACAATCCTGCCTTACATCTCTGCCTTACTGAAAAAAGTCTGATCTTAACCTCTTCACACCAAAATCTGCTAAATGAGAGAAATGAGCTGATGGGAACCTGCCGCCATAGAAAAAATTCTTACTTTCATCTATAACCGGCCTGATACGGCAGTTATTTTGTTTCTTTTTTTAAACGTCTAAAAAATATTTTTAGAAAACACATGAAATCCGGGAACCTATTGTTAAAAATTTGCAAGTTTATTTTTTTTCGGTCGGGATTAATCTATTGATGCCACAATATAAATTTACATAAAGATGTTTAAAAAAATGATGAATTGCACTTACTTGTTTTTCTGACAGATACTACAGATCCAGTCCTGTCCAGACCTTGTAGTGTACTCCCTACAGGTCTTACACACACGGACACTGCATCCCCTAGAGTATCAATAATTATCATTGTTATCATTGTTATCATTGCCATTTTCATTATTACTATCATTATTATTATTTTTATTATTATTATTATCATTATTATGATTATTATTATTATTATTATTATTATTATTATTATTATTATATTGTCCTTATTATTATTATTATTATTGATTTTACTATTGATTTTATCATGATTTTCATCATTTTCATTATTGTTAAAAGGTATTTTGATGAATGAACATTTCTTTTTATTTTATCGTTTTATTAATAAAGTAAAATTAATAAAACTTAGAACATTTTCTAAAAAGATTATTTGAAGTAAAAACTAACAAACACATAAATTATGCCCTAAAGAAATACTGGAATTGCAGTTGTTAGTTTTATTACTGTCCGAGGAAATTAGCGGTGAATTAGAATTCTATTTTAGAAGGTTATTTAGTGGGTATAGAGTTGCTAAATAAACATATGTTAGGATATTATGTTGCATTGATTGATTGATTAATGTTGTGCTTGCTTGGGAACCCCGTGTTTCCCAAGTTCCTTAAAGTTACTCCCGCCGTTTATCCGCGGTAGGTCTTAACTTGCGATTTTAGCTATTTTTCCCAATAAAAGTCGACTCCCACAACTGTAAATCTTAGAAACCAAGTTAAGAAAATTTCCGTGGTTCTCCCGAGTTTCCCCATCAAAATTTTAGGCAAAAGTTTAGGGGTTCATGAGTTATAAATAATATATATTTCGTGGATTTTCAAAATTTTCAAAAATTTGATGAAGATCGAATTTTGATGGAGACAAATATTTGAAATTTTGATCATTCATAAACCTTCCCTGTGGTCACGTGATGTCCCACAAAAAGATTGGGCCCGATCGGTTCAGCCGTTTTGACGTTTATTGGATACAAACAAACAGAAAAACAGACGGACAGACAGACAAGCAAAATTTATATAAAGATGGATAAATGATTTAGATATACTTTTTTATTTTGCCCTTGCACAAATGTTTCCATCCTAAGTAATTTGCCTGAAAACCAAAATATAAAAAGTATAAAAATCAAATTTAGAAGCTTTAGCACAAACTCTTATCTTCTCATTGTTTAAAACAAATCAAATAACAAATAGGTAAAAAGTGACAACAAGGGTGAGTTAACTTTAATACTTTAATATTTTCAAATGCGGTGAAGCATGGAAAATCTATGTATGACAAATGTTAATTGCAGCTTTCATGAAACTTTATAACATATATCGTCATATTTCATATCTTTCCCTCGTCGGTTCATGTCAAATAAAAGTATCCCTCCTCCCTTCTACCACGTCAACCCAAGTTTACAGTAATAAATCATCCAGGGCCGGGTCCCTGTCATTGCATTAAATTGCCTGAAATTACCACATTTTGAATCATTTTAATTTTTCAAGATGCAACACGAAATCTTTCCCTAGAGGCCAATGAAGATTCATTGGATTTTACCCTAAAGGGACTGTAAGCGTAATTTTAAGTTACCATCTGTGCAAAGCTCAATCGATTTTTACTAAGAACCTCTAGTTCACTAGTTGGGGAAAAATTTTCTCCACGGTGTAATTTTGCCGGTGGGGTTGGGATGAATGATCAGAGATGTTTGTAATTGTTAAGATTTGGTCGTGTACTCGTGTAATTATATCAATAGAACATTCAAACCATGAAGGATTTGCACACTGGGAACACTCTTTCATCTTTTCCTTCCTAAGGACTGTGAAGGAGAACATTTTGGCTTCTTAGATATCAGGCTTCAGTATACGACACTTTAAAGGTACACATACAGTCCAATTACCTTGCAAAATGAAACAAAACTAGCAGAAAAAACATGTTTCTAAAAAATCGACATTTTATTATATTTTTATGTTAGTTATTAAACTGGAGATAGTTAAAGACATTTTTGAAAATGAAAAACTCAACTTAAACTTAAATTCTATGAGATGAAAAAAGGGCAAAGGACCAGAAAAAAATTATGACTTGTAAAAGTTTCTATTGTGCATAAGAAGTAGGAGTACAATTGTAATCTATATGATAAAGCTCTTCGTTCATTTATATATATTCTGAGCTCTAGGGGGGGGGCACTGCCCCCTTTGACCACCCTGTATGTAGTAAATGCCCTACTCCAATAAATCCTTTTAGATCAGTAGGTATTTACAACAGTAGTTAGGTTTACAGACCATGTACAACGTTATATCTAGATGTGTTCAGGTTAATAAATATGGGGTGTACTACGATATTTATATATCATGGCCACAGATTGCCAGTGATTTTCATGATCTGAAGATTTACATCGATACTCTAAAAATTGTCATTTGAAGTGAAGACTGACTCTTAGGAAGCTAGAGTGTTTTGCAAATCCAGAATATAGACGGGAAAACTAGACAGTGTACGCCAAATGAATGATATCATCGTTTTTCTATATTTAAAAGTGTTGAGTTCTAACAATTTCCATCATTGTAACAGTAATTCAAAAATCACTGTTAAAGAAACCACTAATGAAAATAATAAATGTTTTCAGAGAAATCATGAATATCTCAATTATTCTTGATTGTTTAAACTTTTTAAGGGACCAGCCAGGCTGCCACTTTAAACATGCGTCGACAGACCCTGTAAATTTATAGATAATCTTGTGTTTCAGTAAATTATCACCAGATTAAGCGTAAACTATTCCAGTAATTAACTATTCAGTAAGTCCGATCATGTCAACTGAGTTTTCCCCTGCACGTCATCCAATCCGTTTGGTGACTTGAACGTAACATGGAACAACGTCTAATCAAGAAACTAAACATTTAGTAAATTTTCAATTTGAACAATCAATCCATAATTGATCAGTGAATTGTATAATTCATTTTTTGGCAATCTTCAATTCAAGGCCGAGAGAGAGAGGCGAAGAAATATGAAAATATCCATGTGGAAGAGGGGGGACTATAGATGAGAGAGAACACTGACCATTAAATAGGTTTCGCCTTAAAAGACCATCCAGCCATTTAAAATATAAATCATATTCCGTACACGGAGAGCTTTAATAATTAGAACACATGCTTACCCTTTCACAACAGGAGGGGGCATTATTTTGAGGAGGGGTGCGAGACTTCAAGCTCCCCCCCCACCCTTCAGCCGTAGAAGGTTCAAAGAGCACGTAGATTTCACAAGCGCGTACAAAAACTAATTTCTGAGCTTATTTAAAGGCAACAGGGGGATGTAATATTTTAAGAAAATGGTATATACTATACACATGAAAATAAACGTTGAAAATTTTTGTAAACAGAATTTTTTTTCGTAAAAACCAAACAAGATGATTTAGCAGAATTTGGTAAACTAAGTAATAATGGTGCAATTTTAGCAATATTGCAAAAGTCTTAGAAAAAATATTAGAAAAAAGTTACATTAAATCAAAAGTTCCGAGTTTTATCAGAGACACCCTTTACTTTTTTTAGAGATCCTTTAAATTCGGACACCCGTCATTATCCTGGCGACCCCAAATCTTATTTCGAAGCCCCTCCATATTTTATTTGATAAAGAAACTGAGTTTTGTTGTTGTCACAAACTTAGACATTTTATCCTTGAAACCTGCTGTTGTAAATCTTTGATATTTCAAACTCTAAATTCTATTAGATTAAATAGTCAAGTTTGAATGGTTTACACCATCAGGTTGCCAAGAATTATACTCAGTTCCTACTTTTTTTGTGAAAGGTTAAAGGTTTGTTGAAAAATAATATCTGACAAATATGATTTTAAATCTTGTTCTCAGAATTATTATAGAGGACGTGAGTCAGACTCTAATAAAAACGCATAAATAACTTCCAGTATATATATTTCTTATAACTTATTACTAGAGGGTTCAGAACTAGAGTCAATATCGATATCACACGTGTAGATGTTTTATCAGTACTATGCCCCGTATCCGTTCTATCTCATTCTGTTGAATCATGTGGAACTTGTTTAACGCGGCCAGGCATCGTCTTCCACATTATAGTCTTTTTTTTATTATTAAACATGCAAAAAGTTTTGATATTTAATTTGCTACACTTAGAACTAGAAGTCTGATGAAAGCATTTCAAGAAATAAAAAATAATTTATAGATTCCCACAGTTTATTTACACAGCTTATGACGTTAATTAGCGTGGTGGGAAATGTAATTTTCTAAATATATTTCTATTATTTTATACCATTAGCCTATCCATCATACTTTAGCACAATACTACTCTTTCTTCAATCTGTTTATCTGTGAACTGTGAAATATGAGAAAAATTTATTTATCTGGTTAAGAAATTAGAAATTAGAAATTAGAAATTAGAAATTAGAAATCAGAAATTAGAAGTTAGAAATTAGAAATTAGAAATTAGAAATTAGAAATTAGAAATTAGAAATTAGAAATTAGAAATTAGAAATTAGAAATTAATTGCTTGACGTAATTGGACGTAATTTGTCTACACGTTTATTTAAGCGTCTTGTGTGTCAGTCTATCTGTTTATCTGTTTGTTTACACGTTTATATAAGCGTCTTGTGTGTCAAAAGCTTACTTATTTAATATTTTTTGTTTAACGAAACATCAAAATTGGGGTTTGCAATATTTTTCTGTCATTTAGTTCTAATTTCGTTTGACAGCAAAAATGAAATTAATAATAATAATAAAAAAATCAAATGAAGGGTTAGAAAATCATTTTTAATAATGGCCTGGGTGTCTCTTTAATTTTTGAACTGCATTAAATGCAAACTGCATGCACTGCAATCTACAAAATTAATTATTTATTCATCAAAATATATATATCTGCTAGGCTTTGTCTCATGGGTTTATTTATAGAGCAGTATTCTTATCTGTTAAAGTATTATAGGAACTGTGCGCGCACATAAATCCCATTACTGTATTTCAAGCATTATAAAACATAAGAAAAAAGATATATTGATATTTTGTTTTAGCATTGAAAAATGGTAAACCCGTTAAAAGTTATTTCAACTGTTTTATTTTTACTTTTGGTATTGTCCTGAACGTTTTTTGTTTGGTATTTTGGTGAAATTTGCTTAATTTTTCATTTTTGCAATAAGGAATGTCATTATCTAAACCGAATCCAAACTTGGTTGGATCTCGACTTTTGTTAACATTTATTGTCATTTAAACTTTTAGTTTTTACGATACACAGTCCCTTTTAACCAGTGTACATGAGATATATTTAATGCTAAATTATTTCGGTGTGCATTCAGGCCAAATCTGGCGTAGTTGGGAGCAAAGAAAAGGATGCCCTTATACTACTGCATAGAATCAAGGATTGTCAATATTCATTCAGAGCACTTTGTGCCCTCAAATTATTTCTCAAACAACTGTTCAATAGACAAACAAAAAACTATTTAGTGCCGCTCCTTCGACGAGCAAAAATTTGAAAAGCCGTTCTTTGACAGCTATACCATTTCTTCAAAACTATGTTAATAGCAATTCTAATTTTAAAATGAAGGGTCGAGGGGTTAGACCTTACAGTGATCCAAAAGTTTCAAAAATTGATCAACAATTTGTCCATCACTACTTTTAAACTAAAGCTGGAAGTAAGTGCTCTGTGGCTATTAATGTACAATGTACATGTCTCAGGGTTAAAAAATAGCATTTTAAGCTATTGAGGTCAAATCAAAGACAAATGCATTGCGACACTAAAGAGTAGACCCAGTCTTGAAAATTGATGCATTTCTTGACGTATCACTGTCAGACTTTTTAAAAGGTTTATTTTCGTAAAGAGTAAGTGCAGAAACATGCAGTTTATTAAAAAAACTGAATTTCATTTAAGAAAAAACTTTTTAATTTTTTCTCTTGAATTCTTAAAATTTTCTTTAAAATTTTTGAGTTGTTTTTAATTTTAATTTTAATTGACTTATCATTATTAGACTAAATGGTTTTCGTAGAGTAGGCACAGAGGCTAGACATGCACTTCATAAAAAGACTGAATTTCATTGAAAATAAACATTTATATTTTTGATTTTTTCTTTTTGAATTCTTAGAATTTTCTTCAAAGTTTTCGAGTTGTTTTAAACCCTGGACCTGGCAAGTTCTACTTTTAGATTAGATCAATTCTTAGGTTGAATACAGATCAAATTAAGGAAATTGACACGTAGATAGATGGGCATATATAGATCAGTAGATAGATGAATAAATAGATGAACAGATAGATGAATATATAGATGAAAAGATAGCTGAATATATAGATGTATAAATAGATGAACAGATAGACGAAAATATAGATGAATAAATAGATGAATAGATAGATGAAAAAATAGATAAATAGATATATGAATATATAGATGTATAGATAAATTAACAAACAACTGATTTGATAGATGATAAATAAGTGAATAGATATATGAATATATAGATGTATAAATAGATGAACAGATATATGAATATATAGATGTATAAATAGATGAACAGATATGTACATATCGATGTATAAATAAATTAGCACACAACTGATTTGATAGATGATAAATAGGTGAATAGATATATGAATATATAAACGTATAAATAAAATACCAGAAAAATGAGTAAATAGAAAAATAATTTTCATTAGATGATAAATATTGTATAGGATGACCGTTAAAGATTAAAAGAAAGATCATATAGATTGACAGAAATACAGTAGAATAAATAGATATAGGAGATGAGGCCTATAACCGTGAATAGTCACATAAAGCGTGTTAGAACATTATTTAAAGCACGAAAAAATCTGGAGAATTTGAGAGAAAATCTTTAAATCTTGACTTTTAGCATTCTTTAACGCAGTTCATGCGAAAACTGTCTTTCGTCTTATTGTTTAATAGTATACAAGGTTTAAGGTGTCAGGTATACTCAGGGAATAAGAATAAAGGGAAGGGAAATGGCGCTGGTCTAGCATGAAAAAGCCAGTCGCACTGCTTTGCAGACAAGTTCATTATTACACACGCACACTATTTTGGTACAGACACACAGCATGACTACAGTCAAGGAAATTGCAGAACTATGTCGTCAATTATAATTAAGCTTGAATAAAGAGTAGTTTATTGTAAACTTTAATCAAATTATATTCTTTGCACGGGCGGATACAGGATTTAAGTGAGGGGGGAGCTAGATTTATTTCGGAACAAAAACATCCGATTTAGTAACAACATTTTTTTAAAGATATTTTTCCTGTTTTGCACTAGGTTTTCTTTCCCTTAAGTGCTATTGAGGAGCTATTCTGAAATCTCAGGGGGGTAGGAAGGTCCTGCCGCCCCCCTGTATCCGCCCCTGATTCTTTGCATGACAATTTGGCTTAAAGTGTTGACTTAACCCTATAAAGGCTGGAGGTCTGAATCTATGTATAGACTGGAGGGGGGGGTGTTTGTCGCTCCCCCCCCCTAGAAAAAGGCCATAGAGAATAGGTATAGGGTTGAAATGCATGTTCATAGCTCAATTTTTCATGGCCAGCTCAAAGAAAAAAAAACCTACAACTTTTATAGTTTGGGTGCTAGAGAGGGTGAAAAAAAATCCCTAAAAAAGGGTAAAAAAATGAAAAAAAATATTTTTTGTTTTAAACAAATATCAATGTGACAAATGTTTCTTTATACATTTTTCAAGGGCTTTTTAAAATTATAGTTTTTAGATCTGTAGCTTTAGTCACAAAAAAATTATGGGCTATCTTAGATTTTTTTTTCAAAGACCGGACTTTTTTCCGCCCTGTACCCTACCCTATAAATAAAATAAAAAATGTTTTACAAAAAATCATGTAAATTACTTTTCATTAAAAGTCACAAAAGTTTACAGTGACGGTGTCAAAAATGAGAGTGCTAGGACAAAAAAAAACTACAGGGCCCCACCCCTAGCCTGTTTAGGGTTAAATATATTAACAATATATTACTTGTATATTATACTTATTTCTAATTAAACAATTAACAATAAACAAATGTACTTTCCTAGACTGTACAAATACCGAGATTTTTATGTACTGTATATACCTACAGTACACGCCTTCGGTTGGTTATTACTTACATTAACTCTTTTGAAACAGACACACATACATGACGTTTTCGCCCCACTGGGTATACTCCTCTATATCCAGGATTATAATGGAGATATTTTGGGTCTGATTATCTTAATTTAGATTTATTTAATTTATTTGTTTTCAACGACCTTTCTTCTTAATCTAAAATTTAAAAGAACTAACATCGAGATTTCACGTAACCCGCCATTTTACCTTAAACAATTTAAACAATACTTTTATCTAGGTTTAATATATCACTGTAGTGTACCATTTTAGTATGTATATATATTAGATAGATAGATATCGATCTATTCACCTGCAAATCGCCCCCCTGTTGATAATCCGCCCGAGCTCCGCCCTGCATCTGCCGCAAGCGCGCTCGGCGGAAGAACCAGCGCGAAGCACACCACGCCGCCGTAAAACGGCAAGTTCCTCTCTTAGGCGACTGAAAATAAATATTTTTAATAAACAATTCTCAGTTTTAATTATCAAATGTGTCATCTGATCTAAAGGAATGAAATTATAAATTCTATTCTATCAAATAATTTTTTAAACGGTTAAAACCTTGTGACCTCGTGTATTTTACGCCCAGGTAGCAGAAAGGTAAATTAATTGGTAGGCATATTAGAATTTCAAAACAAACTTGTATATTATTTTTACTATATAGCTCTTGAGAAAGAGGAGATATGATTGAAAAAAAAACTTGAAACAAGCAAACATTTGAGTAATTGAGTCTTTGCCCCAAACTCTGATTTTCTTATCTCTAAATCTTTCCAATCCTACGTGCTCGACCTTAAATCTTTCAAACTATAAATTCTGTCAGATCTAATAATTCAAGTTGGAAATACAAACAGTTTACACTGTTAATGTTCTAAGATTTAGGGATTCAAAAAGTTGAGGTTTTGGCAACAACTTATACTTTTATATTAAATAAATTAAATACGTTAATTGTCGATCATCAAGTCAAGACCTTTTAAAATAAAAAATGTCAAAATTGTCTAATTTTGCGATATTCTAAAATTTGATACTATTGTTTAAGAAGCTTCTCGTAAATAAATAGATCTCCATTTCGTCCCACGCTAAATCAGAGCAAGCTTTGTTCCGCCTTCTTGGTATTAGTAAACATATTCATAATAGGATAGTTAAATCCTACACATTGATATATACTAAATACAACACAGACGAAGCAATAGTTAAATCATACGCATTGATATATACTAAATACAACACAGACGAAGCAATAGTTAAATCCTACACATTGATGTATGCTAAATACTACACAGACGAAGCAATAGTTAAATCATACACATTGATATATACTAAATACAACACAGACGAAGCAATAGTTAAATCCTACACATTGATGTATGTTAAATACAAGACAGACGGAGCAAGAGTTAACTCCTTTTGGCTTCTGCCCCAGGGTCAGATAGAAATGTTAAAATGCAAAAAAATCAAGTTTTTAAAATTAAGGTGTCGTTAGGCCATAATACATTATTATGTAGCCCTGCAAATGAAGATTTCTTCGTGTATAATCAAAGACTTCTAGAGGGGAAGGGGGGGGGGTGATGATGAAAAGTGACCTTAAGATAATATGATATAAAGTTGTGTATTCTCCAGATGTCAACTATATCAACAATGCTGGGAGATGAAGATGACAACCTGATGAAATCTTGCTTCCTCTATCCTTCAACTTGGATCTCCTCCCCCCCCATCCCCTTCCTCAATTCCACTCCCCACCCCCCTTTGAACCAATTTAAATACTCAATTCTACATTTTTACAGAATTCGACATTATAAATAAAAAAGAGAAAACAGCTTTACAAGTTAAAGGGATGGAATTTGGAATTAATGGTTTGGCATTTGGTGTGAAAGTGATGGAGCTTGGGATTAAAAAGGGATTAAAATAAAAATAAAAGGTTGGATTTGGAATGAAAAAGACAATAAAATTTGGAAATGAAGGATTAGAATTTGGGATTTTAAAGGGTATAACCATTGAAAAATTTGGAAATAAAACAAATTAAGCTTAAGATATAAATATATATTTTTACTATTCTTGTTGTTAATGATTGCAGTTGAATACTTAAACATCATTATCTATCTATCAATAGTGTGGTTTTATTCAACACTTTGAGGCTGAAACAGTTTATTTATCGCCACAGGCAGCTAGTACAGTTTACACTCAAAGGTTTTACTGTGGTAGACAGGAATATTAATCTATATCTATGAATATATTTGGCTGGTGTTGGGTGTTTGTTTGTATCCAATATACGACAAAACGGCTGAACCGATCCGGACCAACTTTTGATTATGACTCATATAAGAAGAATTATGGGCGGTCAATATGTTTGTGAACCCATGTCATTAAAGGGAGTGTTCGCGAAAAATGAAAGGGGGTATAGGCTTAATGCGATAAAAAAGCGCTTTTGATCGCTACTAATCTTACTTCTATCTGTTGAGACTATAAGGAGAAAATTGTTAAAGACGTCTCATACCGAAAAACTTAGCGGCCATACAAATTGCGAAAATTGCAACATACTACTTAGACCGTAAAAAATCAATTTAATTTCAAAGAAATCATTCAGATATTACAACCTATAGTCATCGATTATCTTTCGCCACATTTATATATATTTTATACTTTATAATAGTTTTTAATTGATTTGTTTATTTCTCTAGTCGCTTGCGCAACTATCTAAGAATGTCGCACAACACTCACAATTTTCGAAATCCGTTGAAAACGTTTTCGAAGAAAATAAAATATTATAAAATATAAACTATATACAAATGTGGCGAAAGATAATCGACGACTATAGGTTGTAATATCTAAATGATTTGTTTGAAATTAGATTGATTTTTTACGGTCTAAGTCGTATGTTGCAATTCGTATGTTATTCGGTATGAGACGTCTTTAACAATTTTCTCGTTATAGACGCAACAGATAGAAGTAAGATTAGTAGCGATCAAAAGCGCTTTTTTATCGCATTAAGCCTATACCCCCTTTCATTTTTCGCGAACACTCCCTTTAAGAACAAAAAATATCCACAGACTATTTGATATTCTTTAACAAATGACGAAAAAAAGATTTTAGAAAGATTTCAGAGTAAAATTTAATGCGAGTGTATGTGTAACGTATATTTTCATATTTATTGTTTGTTATTTTGTTTAGATTTAACAAAAAACAAACGTCAAAATGGATCCAGCCCAACTTTATTGCAAAATATTTACAATATGAAACATAGATCACAGGTAAGTAACATTTAACATATAAAATTACCACCACATCTTTGGTAAATGCTGAACAAGAATACTCTGAAGATGGTTTAATAAACCGAAAATTTGGCTGAAAGAGTTTTTTTTTTTTAAATGGAGCTGAGAGTGTTAGATTTAGAAGAATTGTATATATCTATAGATATATAGATAGACAGATAAATTTCCTTGTTTATAGATATATAGATAGACAGATAGATTTCCTTGTATATAGATATATAGATAGACAGATAGATTTCCTTGTATATAGATATATAGATAGACAGATAGATTTCCTTGTAATTTTCTCAATTTTTCTCTCATCCTTCTCATCTGTACATTCCACCTAGACATCCTTATCATTCAACCATCTACCCCCAACACTCTCCTCTTTAATTCATTACTTCATTCATTAATTCTTTAATGCGTTAATTCATATTTATTAATTCATTAATGCGTTAATTTATTAATCTATTCATTAGTTCATTAATGCGTTAATTTATTACTTTATTCATTAATTCGTTAACGCATTAATTCATTACTTTATTCATTAATTAATTAATGCGTCAGTTCATTACTTTATTCATTAATTCATTAATGCATTAATTCAGGAATTCATTAATGGATCATGTCATTCAATTATTTATTAAACAAAATTTTCATTAATTAATTTTTCTTATTTGTATCCCCCTCTTTTCATATTTACCCCTTTACTGTGCCTGGATGTGAGTGATTTTAATGCCTTGTGTGTTCTCGACATTAAAGGTATTCATTAGATAAACGTAGAACGTGCACTACAACCTGTGCACACACAGTTTTCCTTTCAAAACTATCAAAGAGATATATTAGAGTTACATGTGTCGCAACCCAGACCATAGAGATGAAATTTGAGTGGTTCGTGACATAAAACGAGCTACAGATGAATCTTCTAAACGTAAAAGACTAACTTTAATATATGTATATTTGAAAAATGTTGTCATTTCACGATTTCAAATGCTTTCTGCTAGATCTAATTAAAATCATGCAGGTTGCAAAGTTATAAATATTAGAAATTGCGACGAAAAAGATATTGTAAAAACAAAATTTAAAAAAAAAAAATATCATGATCATATGTTTTTCACGTGTTTTTCAGACCTTAATATAATGATCGATAGTAAAATCTAATTATAATTTGCTCTAAAAATAATATTTCATTATACCATGTACTGCATCCTACCCCTTTAGCTTTTAATTTGTCCCACCCCTCCCGCCCCTATATAACTTTAGTTTTGGAAATGAGAACGCGTGCCTTATCTTATTGAAGGTCGATAAGGGTGCGGAAAGGAGGGGATGGGGTATACAAGGGGAGGGGTAAAGTACGTGGGTGGAGGGGGGGGTGATTAAAAGGGGGAGGTAAAAGGTATCTCCGTGCATTATCCCCCCCCCCTTTTACCGGTGCGGGGGGGACGCACCAAGATAATCGACAACTATAATAAAGTATATTATCCAAATTGCAAATTTTTTCAAACCAAATCAAATTCAATATTTTACTGCAATATTAATTATTCCAAATATTTACAAAACATTAGTACAATAAATACATGTAAAACTATTGGAACAAGAGAGCTTCTGTTTTCACAAAACCCCTCTCTAATCGATCCTTAATATATATATTTTATTTTTAAAGAAGATCAGATATTACAGTTGGTAAAATTGTATTGCAAACTAAAATGGTTGACAGATCTACCCAATTACAGTAATTTTTATTAATAAATCATAAAAGCATCAACTTAGTTTAATTAAACAATATTTTTCCTGCTTAAAATTAAAAATTCATGCCATCGATCCAGAACAAAATGGCAATGTTTGGATTTGCCATTTTGAACCTGAACTTAATTTAATTTAACGCTTAATTTTAGAGACAGCTTTTTAATCTCTTTATAGCCACTTAAAAGGACTGAGCTGACAACTTTTGAATGGGATATCCTTAATCCCGATCGGTTAATTTATCTGAAGATTAATAACAAGAGGAGAACAAGCATTATTTAATCTCGAGATTAAGAAAATAAGTGAATTAAGTATTAATCACCATATCCACTATACAAAAGGGTAAAGTAATTTCAAGTGACACTTTTTTCTGTGGACTGTCTGATTCACAACGGTACCCATGGAAGCTTTGTCTGATAAAGAATGAATTTTTTATTTAAAGGGAGTTACC